ATATATATATATATATATATATATATATATATATATATAAATCTAATCAATTAAACTTGAAGTACCACAAATCATTTGAGGATTCGGAAATTTAATAAAATATATATATACGTAAATATACGTAATGTAATCTCGATGTTGATCAGACTCATACGACACACATATAGGTATAGAACAAATTTATAATATACATAAGTCAACAATTTTCGCCGGACAACGAAATTTGTGCGAGATTTGTTGCAATAACGACGAGCAACAGAGACATCGTGTTACGATGACGAAAGGGGGTGGTTGGTCAGCTTGACCAGGCTGGATCGATCAATCGACGTGTGTAACGGCGTTCGGTCGCAGTGCGTGGAGAGCGTGTAGAAGCGAGGGCGACCGGTTCGAGCGGGTTTCCGAAAGGAAAAGGCATTCCAGGCTGCAAAGTGGCGGATCGCGCGCTGATTGGAGAACGGTGTACGCGAGCCGTTCGGCCGCGTACGTGTTCGGGACAGGACTGTTGGCTGGCTGTCTGTGCAGCGTGTTCAAACAGAGAAAGGAACCCGAACGGACTCGCTGACTCTTACAATTAAAGAGAGAGAGAGGATGGGGGGTATAGAGAGAAAGAGAAGGAAGGAGATCCGCGCCGCGACGGCGGTGAGAGTTTAGAGGCGAGTGTCGAGTAGAGCGCGGCTCGAATGGAATGGAATCGCGTGTATGCCTCTAGACTCGCTGTTCCGCTCGAGCCGGCGTCCGCGTCAGTGTGCGCGTTGCATACGTGCTGTGCCGTGCCGTGCCGTGCGCGGGATTAGCAGAGTCGCAGCAGTAGGCCACCGGCGCTCGACGCCTCTGCGTCTCATTTTCCGGCTCGCGCGGCTTCGACCTACCGTAAAAACCATGTTGCTCGATCCGCTGACGGATATCGATCGGTGAATCGATCGTGACCGATTTACAGGTGTTTCCTCCTTTGCTTGACACTTCTCAAACTTGCTTGCTCCTTTGAGCTCTCTCCGACCCGATCAATGGTCATGTTCACCATTTGGCATTTGGCATTAGTTCCGCGTTGACTTGCCGCCGTTTCAAACTGTGAACGATCGCGTCGCGCGTGTTCGTGTTTCCAAGCTGTTTCGTAAGACTGAAGGATTTGAATCGTCGTCGTCTGTCAGTTGAAGAGCTCGAGATCCTCCCGCGCCCTTAAATCATCTAGAATTTCTGACCATTCGCGAGACCTTCCCGAAAGGAAACGAAACGAGAGTGTCCCACGTTTTTGGAGTCGTCGCGCTTCTGACACGAGTGAAACCGAGTTGAAAGAACTTTGAAGGGTCCTTTAAAATGCGCGAAAAAGTGAGTAACCAGCGAAAGAATGAATTCGAAGCTGTTCGATCGAACAGTCATCTGAAGTCGAACGAACCGTAATTGCACGGTGTTAGATGCACTAACTATCGGTATCGGTCCCTCGGTTGCACGTGCAGAAAAATATTTTTAAACGGCAACAGGAACGTGCAGAGTTTTGTTTGGTGCTGTAGCATTACAGTGCACAGGAGCGAGTAATATCGGCTCACGATGTTCACGACGATGAGATTGCGGAACGATTGTTCGAGTGGATAACCGCGAATTACGTACTGTGTCGGGAGATTTGTGACTTGCCTTCCGACGGCGTTGCAAGCGTGCAAGTAACGGAGAACGATCTCGACGTTATCTGTAAACGTTCTGTAAGAGGGGCCAATGTTTCATCTTGATGAACGATCCAATACCGATGTCGATGATCGAAAACTGACTGTGAGAAGCTTCCGATGATTTTCGTCGTGTCCTCTGGCAAAGAATAACGAATCGTTACGTAACGGTGAAAAGAACAAGACTATATATATATCCTCGTGTCAACAAACACCGTGCGCCTGATAAATGAAAGAATCCCGGCAAATCTGAAAAGTCCGCGCGAAGATACTTTTCCAATCGAGAAATCCGCGTCCGTCTTTTTATAGCAGGGCTATTAATATCGCGAGGGAATTATGAAACGCGCGAACATCAGTTCGATGTTTACGCGCGAGCGGGTCGGGAAGCAACGAGAGGAACCGGCGGCGTCCCCGGCTCGCGAAATACCGACGATGACGCGCGTCGAGTAGTTATTTCGGATGTACATCATCGAGGAAGATAGTGGGGACGACGGCGGATGCCGTCTGATCTCCGTCCGTCAGTGCGTCGACGCTGACGGAGCGGGCGAGACGGAAAGCCGGCGGCCCGACGACGAGGACGACGTCGACACCGCTAGCCTGCTGGATGTCAAGTGTTTCCCACGTGTGCACAAGACGCCGCATATCCTGAAGAAGTCCGCCTCTCTGGAGGCGGAGAAGGGCCACGAGTCGAAGAAGGATCAGTTCCTAAAGTCCTGCGGTCGCGTGGACGCGAGAGCAAACCGGTCGGCTGTCGAATCGGCCGCGTCTCGAAGCGAGGAGGAAGAGATCGTCCTCGGCGCGAGCAACGAGAAGCTCGTTGGAATTTCCGTTCGGTCGTTGGAAGTGGTGGATTGCAAGAGCGTGTACGACGACCAGGGGTACAAAACCACGGTGAATTTCCAGTACAGGGACACTCTGACGCGATCGTGCAACGCGTCCCGGCTCGAGAGAGCACGCGGCTTGAAGAGAAGCGTGTCCGCGCCCGGGAACGGCTCCTGCCAAGCCTCAGGCGAGAAACAGGATACCTCGTCGACGACCAAAGACAGTGACAGCCAAAGCAAAGACTCGGAGTATCGGGGCAAGGAAACCAAAGACTTTGCGTTCGCGAGGAGGAGCCCGTTGCCGAAAAGCGCAGCGGACGTCAGCGGCCAGTCGACAGCCAGATACCAACGTTCCAGGGCCAACAGATCGCAAACGGCGGAATTCGCGACGAAGACGGAGCAGTTGATCGCGAGACGCGGCCAGCAGGATCATCCGGCCCGAAGGGCGAGAGCCTCCTCGTTCGTGATCGAGAGGAAGAGGCATCGCCAGGCTACAATTACATCCTCGAGGTCCAGCGAGGATCTGTCGAGGATCTGTTCGTTGAGCAACAACGAGACGACGGAGGCCGATGGAATGCGGAATTGCAACGGCGCGGTGGCGGGCGTCGACGAGAACGAAGGATGCGTCCTGCTCGGGGTCCGGTCCCTGGAGGAGAGCCCCCAGCTGCCTCTGATCCCGCGACAGGACGACAGGTGTACCAGAAGGGACAGGGAACGTGCTAGGATCCTGCGACGCAGGAGAATCAACGGGAGATCGGCCTCGGTGCCTAGGGTACACGTGAGTTTAGATCTTAAACCAGTCGACACGCGAACCAGCCGAAACGAGATCTAGCGCTCGAATTCTCGGAGTTTTATTTCGAACGGGGCTTGATTGGATCTGATTCAAGTTCTCGTTCGTCCCGATTACCTTCCCTTCGAAACTATTCTCAATCGAAGCTTCAAGATATATTATTTTTCTTGTCGCCTGAGTCAATGCCTCTCCTCTTGAAAAAGTAGCCGGATAAACGTCTCAAATCTCAAATCGTTTATATTCGCCGCCTCCTTCGCATTTCGTGAACTCGATTTCCATTCACGACTTCGCCA